TGGCTCAGTCTGTTGAGCATCCAGCTCTTGATTTCGGCTCAGGTCATGAACCCAGGTTCGTGGGATCGAGTCCCTCATTGGGCTCTGGGCTGAGCACGGAGCCTGCATAAGAGTCTCTCTCCCTCTGCCCCTTCCCCGGCTCATGCGTGTGCACGTGCTGTCTCAAAATAAAGTGATTAAAAATCTTCCCACAAAGAAAACACTGAGTTTTATGTTTCAAAGGTGAATTCTACCAGTCTTTCAAGGACCAGACCATCTCAATTTCGTGGAGTTTTTTTCCCTGGCAATAGAAAACTAGGGACTATTCAATTTATTCTCGTAGGCCTGCTAGCCCTGATAACCAAACTAGACAAAGACATGGCTGGAAAATTGCAGACCCATTTCACTCCTTAACATAGACTTTACAACTTAAACAAAATAGCAGTAGTGTACAAAATGCAATAGTGTACCAATAGTGTGCAAAAAAATAATACCCCCAAACCAAGTGTGGTTTATCTCAGGTGTGTAAGGATTTACTTTGGTTTTAATTTTTTTAATGTTTATTTTCTGAGAGAGAGAAAGACTGAGTGCAAGCAGTGGGGGGACAGAGAGATGGGGAGACACAGAATGTGAAGCAGGCTCCAGGCTCTGAGCTGTCAGAGCAGAGCCCGACGTGGGACTCGAACTCCATGAACCGTGAGATCATGACCTGAGCCGAAGTCAGGCAGCAAACCGACTGAGCCACCCAGGCACCCTCTAAGGATTTAATACTAGAAAGTCCCTAAATGAAGTTCCAGAGTCATCACATTAATAGATTAAAAGAAAAAAAATTATGATCATTTCAATAGCTACAGAAACAATATTTTACAAATCACTTTTCCGTGATATATTTTTGTTAATGAGGAAGGAAAGGAACTCTTCTAAACTGACAAAGAGTAGCTGTTAAAAAACAAACATGATATAGGGAAACATTAGAAGCACTTCCTTTAAAATCCGAGACAAAGATGCCCTTTATCATTAATGTGTATTTAACGTTGTATTGACAGTCCTAAGCAGAAGACAGAAGAAATTAGGAGCACAAGAATTGGAAAGGAGGGAATAAGATTTTATTATCTGCAGATGATATAACATTTACATAGAAAACAGAAACTTCTACAAATTATTAGAAAAAATTATGTAAAGAAAGGTAATTATGTAAACTTGTATGTAAATTTTATCCAAGTGACTGGATAAAAGATTAATGAAAGTCATTTGTATTTCTGTATATATGCAAAACTACTAAAAATCATAAATAGAAAGCATCACAGTAATATCAAAATCTGCTTTAGAAATTCTAACACAAATATGTTAGATCTTTTTTTTTTTTTTTTAATTTTTTTTTAACGTTTATTTATTTTTGAGACCGGGAGAGACAGAGCATGAACGGGGGAGGGTCAGAGAGAGAGGGAGACACAGAATCTGAAACAGGCTCCAGGCTCCGAGCTGGCAGCACAGAGCCCGATGCGGGGCTTGAACTCACGGACCGTGAGATCATGACCTGAGCCGAAGTCCAACGCTTAACCGACTGAGCCACCCAGGCGCCCTGACAAATATGTTAGATCTTTAAAGGGAAACACAATTTTACTAAAAGTAATTAAATAACTAATAGAGAAATATATGATGTTAATGATTGGAAAACAATTTGATCTGTATATTAAATGTAGTTTCATTCAGAATCCCAACAGGGATTTTGATGGAACTTGATAAGTTGATACTAATCACATGTACATGATTCCATATGAATATGGAAGAGTTAAGGGGGCAGGGATGCAAACTGGTGCAGCCACTGTGGCATAGAGAATGGAGGTTCCTGAAAAAGTTAAAAATAGAATTATCCTCTGATCCAGTAATTGCATTACTGGGTGTTTACCCCCGAAATACAAAAACATTAATTCAAAGGGATACATGTTCCCCTATGTTTATTGCAGCATTATCTACAATTGCCAAATTATGGAAGCAGCCCAGGTATCCATCAATAGATGAGTGGATAAAGAAGATTGGTATTTATACACAATATATTGGAATATTATTCAGCTATAAAGAAGGGAAATCTTGCTATTTGCAACAACATGGATGGAGCTAGAGAGTATAATGCTAAGTGAAATAAGTCAGAGAAAGTCAAATACCATATGCTTTCACCAATGTGGAATTTGAGAAACAAAACAAGTGTAGGGAAAAAAAGAGACTAAGAAACAGAGTCTTGTAGAGAAACTATAAAACTGATGGTTACCAGAGCAGAGGAGGGTGGGGGGGTGGGTGAAATAGGTGATGGGGATTAAGGAGTACACTTACCATGATGAGCACTGAGTAATGTATAGAATTGTTGAATCAGTGTATTGTACACATGAAACTAATAGAACACTGTATATTAACTGTACTAGAATTTACATTGAAAACTCAAAAAGGTAGAGCACCAAGAATATCTGGTCACTTCTGAAAAAGAATAGGGAGGAGGTGGAGTGGGAAAAAAACAGGGAGAAGACTTGATTAACTGGATAGACTCATCGTAAGATAGGAATTAAAACAGTGTTAAATAAGCACTAGAAAGATTGATCATTGGGAATGTGAGGGATGAGAAGATTGATAAATGGAATAGAGAACTCGTAAACATCCATTTTGTAAAATTATGTATATTGAGGTCTAATGGGCAAAAAATTACTGTGTGGGGACTTCAGAACTCTTTTGAGTTGAAATCTTGACTCTAGTAGTTCACTGAATTGTGCTATCTTGTGTTATCTCTTGCCTTAGATGTAAAACAAAGGCAATAATATTGTGTATGTCAGAGGATTATTAAGTGGGTTAATGTATGTGTCTGGTATAGAGTAAGCTCTGTGTGAGTCTGCCTTTTGTTTTGATTATCTAAACCACAACTTAGTTAAAACAACAGCCATTTTATTTATTTATTCTGTGGTCTGAGTTGAATGGTTCTTCACTTGTCTGCCTGCAGCGTAGTCAGGTGACAGCTGGTGTTGGAATGTCCCATGATATGTGGTGCTTTGGAGGGAATGGCTGGAAGGCTGGGCTCAAATGGACAATTGATACTCTCCACTTGGTCCTTTTGTGTGATCTCCAGTAGAGGAGTCAGATTTTAGAGGCCTCCAAAAGCACAAAAAATGAAGCTGCGAGGCTTGGAATTGGCACATTATCTCACTTGCGCTGTATTGTTTTGATTGATGTGGTTCATTGGGGACCATTTTTGGAGACCATCCACACTGTTACTATTTTTTTCTTTTAAGATTTTAGTTTTATGTGTAGACCCATCGTGGGGCTCGAACTTAAAACCCCAAGATCAAAAGTTGGGTGCTCCACCAACTGAGCCAGCCCCCATGCTCCCTTCCACACTGTTATTGATATTTGTATACATCATGTTGCTTTACAGTATGTATAATTGTCAGTTTAGGCACCAAGGATTTATTAATGAACAAATACAAAAACTTGCTCCTTGTGTTTTACATGATAAGTGCTTAAAATGTATAGTGACCAGGACAGTAAAGAAAAATAAGGCAGGGAAGGAGATAGGGAATACTGGGGGTTGGGAGTTGTGGTTTTAAAAATGGGTAGTCATGGAAGGCTTCCCTGGTAAACTGACATTTGAGCAGATGAAAGGAGGAGATTAGGAGCTAGTGGGGCAAGGGTGGAAGCAAGAAAACTGGAGGGTAGTGCAGTTGAGAGGTAGGTCATTTGGATTAGTGCAGTAATAATGGAAGTGGTGAGAAATGGTTAGATTTTGGATATATTTTGAAGATACAGCTTTATAATTTATTTATGAACTGGGTGTGGAGTGAAAGAAAAAGGAATCAAGGATGGCTTGGAGGTCATTGACCTGAGCAACTGAAAGGATAGAGTTGCCATTTGCTGAAATGGAGAAAGCTACAAGGACTGGCAGGTTTTGGAGAGATTAGGATTGGTGTTTTATGTATAAGGTTTGAAATGCTAATTAAAAGCTAGCTGCTTTAAAATTGTAAATTATGCTTCTATCCTGTCTGACTTCCCATTCTGTTGCAAGGGAAGCAGATGGGGGAGGGAGGAATTCATATTTTATTGCAGTTAGTAAGTGTTCTTGTTCTCAGAAGATTGAGGAATCTTGTTGGTTTTAGCCAGAGTATTTGTCCTTTTTTCCAGTCCCCTTTCACCCTTCCCCTGATGTGGCTTGTTACTGATAAATGTCACTGATCGTTTATCACCTTTTTACTAAAAAAAGACCTGAAGATAAACAAGTTTGTTTAAAAGTTTATTTTTCCTCATAGCTTTTTCTTTTTTCTTTTTTTAAGGAGAGATGGTAGAAAGTGACAATTTTAACTAAACCTTACTCTCTTTCTGCAATTCATGCTGTATCTTTCCGTGATGATATATGTCCACCTTGGCTTAACCCATTTTGTAGGTATTTAGTTGCTATGCTCTTTGGGTTTGGCACATGTTAAAAGCTGCTTTAACTGATGCCGAGTATTTTGATTCTCACTGTCCTGTGGTTCCTTGCCAAGACATGTTTCAACATGTTGTAAAGGTTTTTCTTGATGTGCTCTTGGCATCTTAAATCTATTACTTAATCTTGGTAATTCCCCCAGCTCCACAACTGTTGTCTTCCAGGGGGTGCTCTTGAGCACTGTCCAAAGAGAGGAGGAGTTACTGAAACTCTGATATGCATTGGGGAGGTGATGATTGTAAATTTGACTTTCAGCTAAAACAGTTTACTCATTATCATCACTGTGGGGGTTGGAGCATGCCTAAACCTGTTTCAGGCTTCACCTGAGGGAAGCATAGATGGTTCTTACTCTTAATTAGACTCTTCAGTTGTTTGCAGGATCTGAACTTAGGAAGTGATCAGAAGGGTATCAAGAACCTCATTATGGATATATTGCATTTCTGTAGGGCGCTCTGATACAGGTGTCTTTTTCCTTCTGCTGGCTGCTATTTTGTAAATCTTAAAAGAGAAAATGTTCTACTTTAGAAGAGGTTTCATCATGTTTTTTTTTTCCCTTTTAGATTTATCAACAGACTGCAATTCTTCACTGCCAAAATGACATCATTTTCCACCTCTGCCCAGTGTTCAACTTCTGACAGTGCTTGCAGGATCTCTGCAGAACAAACCAATCAGGTAAATCATATTTAAGCCATTTCTAGTTTTCAAAAATCTGAATTGGGGCATGTAGGTGACTTTACTGACTGAAGGATTTTATGTAGAGCAGAAAGGGTTATTTTTTAAAATGTCTTATTAGGGAAACTAGTGAATGGTATCAGTGTTCAAAATTCGAATTGATCATTGATTAAGTAAATGTATAGAGGTTACAGATTGTTCAAAATATGGTACCTTTTGAAAATTACTGTGTTTTACGGTATGGGTGGCCAGTGGAGCATTTGGGACCAAGATATATGTTTAGTTTCTGTTTCTCTCACTTCATTTTAACCGGTCTGTTTTCTTTAAAAATCAATTTTAAATTGCAACTAAAATATTGCAAATGTATTCTTATAAAATATTCAGTTTTCTAATGTATTTATCTATAAAGTATTTATCTGTAGGGACTCCTTGACCATGTCTTCCCTTCTTCCCCCAAAGTCCCTTCCCTCTGAGATAACACTTTGGTGTGTCTTGTTCCAGATCTTTTCCTCTAACATATAAAAAGACTTAATTTTGTGTTTTATTTTCATAAATATTGCACAATATGTAGTATTATGTACCTCAGTACATGATAAAGGTGGAATTTGGGTTTGGTGGGGGAAGATGTGGCTTATGTAGTAAATGGTTTCGATGTAATTGTCCATCTCTGGAAGGAAACAAATGAAGACCTCAAACTTTGTGCAAAAACAAATCCCAGGTAGATAAAGATTAAACGTAAAAAGTAAAATAATATTAGAAGAAAATTTAGGAAATGCGTGTGAAACTTTAGGATGACGGAGGCCTTCAGTAAAACAAAACCAAAGAGGTGGTGAGAGGACGAGAGAGACAAATTTGACCCTAAAAGTTTTAAAATAAAATTGTGTGGCTGACATCAGTCAAGGGATGTCAGAGTCACTGTCCCTTATATGTATATACCACATCTTGTTTGTCTGTTCACCTGTCATATCTGTTCACCTGTGAACACTGGTGTACAAATACTTGTTTGAATCTTGCTCTCAGTTCTGGGTTCGAATGTAGCAGTGGAACTGCTGGGTCATATGGTAATTCAGTGTTTAAGTTTTTGAGGACCTGCCAGACTGTTTTCCACAGCAGCTGAGCCATTTTACATTCTCACCAGCAGTGCACAGTGGTTCCAGTTTTTCCACATCCTTGCCAATGTGGAAGGCTGTTTTTTCCCTTTTTTCTTTTTCTTATGGCTGTGCTAGTAGGTGTGAATGTCCTGTCTTTTGAAAATGCGATTTTTCAGGAAGGTAACAAGTAGTAGTCTGATTAGCTGCAGTTACTTTATATATTGGAAGGTTGTATGTGATTAGATGATAAGTATTTCTACCAGAGTTTGTAAACAAACAAAAAAATATTTAAGGAGGTTTTCTTATTCCTTAGGGTTTCAGAAACCAATTTAATTGAAATGTAAATAGCAGGTTTATTTTGTTTCTGTCAGGTACGACCAAAACTGCCACTTTTGAAGATTTTGCAGGCAGCAGGTGCACAAGGTGAAATGTTCACTGTTAAAGAGGTAAGCCATCAAAGAAAATTCTCAGTTGTAAGAACAGCTAAGAAGTAGAAGCTGACGAATATATAGTTCTGAAATCAGGCCTAAGAAAGCAAATTCTACTTCTGAGGTGCTAGAGAGGCAACTTTTTCTTTATGTTAAAGATCATCGAGCTAAATTGAATTTCATTATTTCCTTTAAATTTCCTTTTGAAAAAAATTTTTTTTTCAACGTTTTTTATTTATTTTTGGGACAGAGAGAGACAGAGCATGAACGGGGGAGGGGCAGAGAGAGAGGGAGACACAGAATCGGAAACAGGCTCCAGGCTCCGAGCCATCAGCCCAGAGCCCGACGCGGGGCTCGAACTCCCGGACCGCGAGATCGTGACCTGGCTGAAGTCGGACGCTCAACTGACTGTGCCACCCAGGCGCCCCTAAATTTCCTTTTGAAGTGTGTTGTCAGCCAAACCTAAAATTAACCATGAATTCATTGATCTCAGAGTTAAAATGCAAAGCGTGTACAAGATTTAAAAAATGACACTGTCTATGATTTATAGGATATACTGCCAGGCAGGAATTAAATGCAGTAGTTTTCCATTATAAATGTGTCAGATACTCTTCTGAGCACTGTGAGCTACTTTAAACACTTATGCATTTAAATAACTTATTTAGCATCTAAAGGTTTTTTTTTCTTAAGAAAAACAAATTGAATTCCTTAAGTGGAAAAACTCAATATTAAAATGTTAATCTCTTTGAACTGCTTACATTTAGTAGGGTAAAAATCTAACCTTTTCTAATTGGAGGAAACAAAACTATCAAGCTTTTTTTTCACTTTTTTGAAAAGCTTAAGACCTACTAGCAACACTGCATTCCTGAGCTGTTACAGTTTTCTTTTTTTTAAAAATTTTTTAATGTTTATTTAGTTTTGAGAGAGAGTGTGGGCGGGGGAGGGGCAGAGAGAGAGAGAGAAAGAGAGAGAGAGAGGGAAACACAAGAATCCGAAGCAGGCTTTAAGCTCTGAGCTGTCAGCACAGAGCCTGACTTGGGGCTCGAACTCATGAGCTGTGAGATCTTGACCTGAGCCATAGTTGGACACGCAGCTGACTGAGCCACCCAGGCACCCCTCCTGAGCTGTTGGATCTTTCAAGGAAACAAATTGGAAGCATTTTTTTTCTAGAATACTCATATTTCCTGAGCTGTTCGATCTTTCAAGGAAATAAATTAGAAGCATTTTTTCTACAATACCTATATTTCCTTTATCATTTTAAATTTAAGTGCATCATTTTAAATTGTATCTGTAGAGTTCTCTAAGTTTTTTTTTTTTTTCCAAACTATTACTGAAGTATGGATTTTTATATCAATAAAGTTATAATAAATTATGCTATCTCCTTTAATAACATGGCAGAATTTGCCTGGGTTAAGAATAAATTAAGTACATATTGGTCAGAGAATGTTTTACTGGGGAAAAGTTGGACAGAGTCAGTTTACATGAAGCTCTCTATTACGAATCTTGATCCTCTCTGGTGCATAAAGAATTTCTTAATTTTTTATTTTATTATTTATTATACTTTTTAGAGAGAGCATGAGCGGGAAGAGGGGCAGAGGGAGAGAGAGAGAGAATCTTAAGCAGGCTGCACGCTCAGGGTGGAGCCCCACATGGGGCTCAGTCCTACTACCTTGGGATCATGACCTGAGCCAAAATTAAGAGTTGGATGCTCAACGGATTGAGCCATGCAGGTGCCCCCACCAATTTTTTTTTTTTTAATTTTAAAATTATTATTTTAAAGTTTATTTATTTATTTTGAGGATTGGGAGGAGTAGAGAGAGAGAGAGAGAGAGAGAGAGAGAGAGAATCCTAAGCAGGCTTCTCACTGTCAGTGAAGAGCTCCATGTGGGGCTTGAATTCATGAACCATGACAAGCTGAGCTGAAGTGAGATGATTTATCAACTGAGCCACCCAGGCGCCCCTCTAATTTTTTATGTTTAAGTATTGGTTCTCAGTATGTGTGCATTGAGGCAGTATGGTATAGTGAGAGTAGTAATCATGTACACATTTATTTTTAATTTTTATTTTATTATTTTTATTTATTTTTAATTTTTTTAACGTTTATTTATTTTTGAGACAGACAGAGCATGAACAAGGGAGGGTCAGAGAGAGAGGGAGACACAGAATCTGAAACAGGCTCCAGACTCTGAGCTGTCAGCACAGAGCCTGACATGGGGCTCGAACTCAGGGACTGCGAGCTCATGACCTGAGCCAAGGTCAGACGCTTAACCGACTGAGCCACCCAGGCGCCCCTAATTTTTATTTTATTTTAAAGAAATGTTTATTTTGAGAGAGAGAAAGAGATCGTGAGTGGGGGAGGGGCAGAGAGACCATTCCTAGTAGGCTCCACATTGATGGCATGGAGCCTGATACGGGGCTTGAAGTCACACATCATGAGATCATGACCTGAGCCAAAATCAAGAGTCGGATGCATAACCTGAACTGTCCAGGTGTGCCCCAGAAATTTACTTGTTAAAAAAAAAAAAAATCCACATGCTGGCATTGTCCAGAAAAATGTAACAGGTTTATTTATAATTATTGTGAAGTTGAACTGCTAAGACGTGTTCACTAAAACATTTTGACTTGCATTAATGCTTTAGGTCCCACATTTGTATTAAAAATTCGCACACAAGGGGCGCCTGGGTGGCTCAGTCGGTTGGGCGTCCGACTTTGGCTCAGGTCGCGATCTCACTGTCCGTGAGTTCGAGCCCCACGTCGGGCTCTGTGCTGACTGCTCAGAGCCTGGAGCCCGTTTCAGATTCTGTGTCTCCCTCTCTCTCTGCCCCTCCCCTGTTCATGCTTTGTCTCTCTCTGTCTCAAAAATAAATAAATGTTAAAAAAAAAATTAAAAAAAAAAAATTCGCACACAAATGAAAATGGAAAAGCTGCCAATACCCAATTTTTGTACCCTGTTTTTCCACTCGCAGTCATATACTTAGGTACCTTTTGACCCCATGGAAAAAAAAAAGTTTTTTTAAAGAATGAAATAGTTTCCATCATAGTGGATTCTTAAGCACATTCTCCATGTGTGTGGTGTGCTAGCTGGATGTCTTTTGGCATAATTGTTACATGTTTGGCATGGACAGCACACAGGTTGGTCTTCAAAAAGGCCCACCGAGGCTCCGTAGCTCAGGGGTTAGAGCACTGGTCTCGCAAAAAGGCCCACCGATAGGCCTCACTCACTTGCCTCCTGCAAAGCACCCATAACGGCACGCTGGAAACACAGATATGTTTTGAAGTCCTGAGCAGTTTCTCACACCAGATGCCAGAAAGGAAGTTTGCAAATCACAAGTTCTGTGGAGTTTCACGGAGCGCCACAGTAGCAGAGCTGTAATGGTGAGGTTTCTTCACTCCTCCAGTAGTGGGCGCACTCTCACCAGGGGCTTTTGTAGTCACTGGCTTCCTCGGTGCTATACCACCCGTCGATTTGGGAGCAGTCTGCTTTGGGCAAGCCATGATATAGCGAATTTCTTACTTACCCCCCTCCTTCTTCAGCTGGGGCCCGGGAGCTGGAGGTGGCGGTGGTGGTGCGGTGGGAGCTGCAAACATTTAATTACGTACTCATGTAGAGTAGTGTTGTAGAAGATCTTATTTTGCATACTTACAGTGGATTTCTTTTTTACAAGTTGGACAGGCTAAATATAAAACTTTCTCCTTTTTCTTCCAGTAGGTGCTCTTCCCCATCTTATTTCCCCCTAGATATTTGGTTAGGTATGACAGCACCATTAACACTGGGACAGAATGTTGCTTGGGATGGAGGGGAACCTGGGAACATTTTTGTACCAATAGTGGGAACAGGGTTGGAAAAATCTTCTGTGAAGATACCTAATAATTCCTGAGAAGTTGGGACCTAAAAATAAAAATAGCTGCTTTGGCCTGTTTGTGATAACAAAATTCTTATTGTCATTAAGGGAATTTAATTAAGCAGTTTAAAAAAATTTACCTAGAGAAAACATTATGAAAAAAATAGATAACTTAAAAATTTTGAATCGTGAACTTGTCTGAGTTCCTTCCATTGTTGTGAACTTTGAAAAAAGCCAGATAGGCTAAACTTTTATTGATAAACACTAGATTCTATGTTTTATGCACTTACGGCTTATTAACCCTTGTACTTCATTTGCCAAAAACAAGTGAACATGCATCAAAAACCTCTTGTAGTTATGGGTCTCTGGACTTGGAAAATACTTTTATGACCCAGGCACATTTAATGTTTATTACTTCTAGTGATAGAACAGACGTCTTTATCTGGATTGGTGAAAAAAATTTTAAGGGGATGGGGTGCTTGGGTGACTCGGTCAGTTGGGTGTCCAGCTCTTGGTTTTGGCTCAGGTCATGATCTCCAGTTCATGAGTTTGGGTCCCCCATCGGACTCCACACTGCTGGTGTGGAGCCTGCTTGGGATTCTCTCTCTCTCTCTCTCTCTCTCTCTCTCTCTCTCTCTCTCTCTCTCTCAAAATGAAAAGAAAATATTTTAAGGGAATACTAGGAAAATTCACTTTTTATCATTGTCAAACCCTACATTTCTAAAAAGTAAGAGTTTGGGAGCACCTGGGTGGCTCAGTCAGTTAAGCGTCTGACTCTGGATTTCAGCTCAGGTCGTGATCTCACAGTTCAGTTTGTGAGATCGAGCCCTTGTTGGGGTTCTGTGGAACTGACAGCATGGAGCCTGCTTGGGATTCTCTCTCTCCCTAATGGTCTGTCTCTCTCAAAAATAAGTAAACTTAAAAAAAAGTAAGTCTGTTAACGTCCAGCATGAGAATAAGTGGATGAGCCTGGTGGTTGAGGACAGCTCTCTTGTTGTAGGACTCCTTTCTCGAGCATGACAGTCATGTTCATAAATGTTTCCTCTTTCTCTAGCAAACTATCTTCTCATAATGAATTTGTGTCTTTTGGAGCAGCTGCACAGACTTCTTCGTGCTTTTTTATCACCATGTAGGTCATGCACTATCTAGGCCAGTACATAATGGTGAAGCAGCTTTATGACCAGCAGGAGCAGCATATGGTGTATTGTGGTGGAGATCTTCTGGGAGAACTGCTAGGACGCCAGAGCTTCTCCGTGAAAGATCCAAGGTAGGGAGAGCGAAGGTTGGTTTATCTTTTTGGGGGCTTCTGTCTAACCACTCAGTCTCCATAGGTTATTAATGGTTATCTTTTTTTTTTTAGTCAACCAATATTTAAGGGCCTTTGTATGTCAGGTAGCCTGTGAAGCACTGAGAACAAGTCAGTGAGCAACACAGTCTCAGATTCTATGGCACTTAAAGGGTAGTTAGACAGTAGATGCGCTTCCCCATCTTAATCAGACAGTCACACCAGCACAAGGTAAAATTATACCGTGGGTAAGTGTTACAGAAAAGAGGTACATGCAGCTGTGTTGGGGGTGGGATTCAGGGTCTTAGGAATCAAAGGAATGCTCCTTGAGGAAGTGGTTTGAACTGAGAGCTGAAAGAGAACTAAGGAGTGAGGGGCCCGAAGGAGGTGTTGAAGGAGAGCTTCTGGCAGATTGCACGTCGTGTGCAAAGGCCTGGGTGGGAGGAGCTTCATGTGGCTAGGTTAGGATTCTGTGAAGCCATTGTAGAGAGAGGAAAGTGAGCTGGTGAGAGAAATGCAGTGTTGCCGGGCAGCTCGACGTTGATGATGGGCCTCAAGAATCGCGGTAGAGGTCCTCTGACCTGTTGTGTGACTTTCTCCAGCTGCATGGGGTGTAAATGGTTGTTACAGAGTCAAAAGCTAATAGGTAATTGGGAAGCCAGTTGTTCTCTTTGGATAGCTTTGTGATGACTGTTTCTTCTGAGCTCATTTTGTCTTATATTGGTAAGACTCCCTTCCACCCCTTCCCCAATTAAAATTGTAAAAATTTCTAGAAGGAAGGAATGGTCTCTAAAGGAAATCTTGGGCTGTTAGCTAATTAAATAAAATGTAAATTAATTAGTTTTTTAATGAGGGCAAAGTAACAAAAGGGCTTGGGCATTAATATTCTTGACTTTTAAATGATTACAAACAAATCTATCCTGGGGGAAAAAATATCTGCCTTCTCTGTGTTATAGAGAAAGTTGGAAGATCACATATCAGATAGACACATAACATCTAAATTGGAAAGCCATGGGGTTATTAATTTTTTTTTTTTTTTGTCTCTCTGACAGCCCCCTCTATGATATGCTAAGAAAGAATCTTGTCACTTTAGCCACTGCCACTACAGGTATGTCACATCATATTTCTTCAGTGTGTGTCACAGCTTTGAGCTCGAGGGGGCAAATGATGGGAAAACGAGGATCGAGGTGGAAATGAAATGCTGTGTTGGCATGATCGAGAGGGATTCCTGTCACACAGAATGTTATTAGTATGTTAATTTTTCATTGTGAAAAATTTCAAATATACTGAAAATAGATTAGTATGATGCCTACCTCTTAGTAATTGTTAACATTTTGCCACATTTGCTTCACCTGGACATGCTTTTTTTTTTTTTAATTTAATTTTTTTTCATCTGGACATACTGTAAAAATCTCTAATTTTTACTGTCCAGTAGCCAGTGTATGTATAGTTACCCCCAGTTATCTCAGAAATATCTTTCACATTTGGCTTGTTCAGATCAAGATCCAGACAAAGTCCACACATTGCGGTTGGTTGAAACACCCCTAAGTGTCTTTGTAAAACAATCCTCCTTTTATTTTTATGTCATTTATTTGTTGAAGAAATGGCTCATTTGTCCTGTAGAATTTCCCACATTCTAGAGGTTGCACATTGTATCCTTGTGATGTTGTTAAACGTCTTCTATTTTCATTAAACTAGTAATGCTTGAATAGTTTCAAGTTTAAACTTTTTGCTGACAACATTTCACGGGTGGTGCTTTGTACATCTGTTGCATCACATCCGGGTCATGTAAGGTCTGCTTGTCCCCCTTTCCGTGATGTTCAGGTTCTGTGGGCTCACGTGGTGTTACCCTGACCCATCTGTTATAAAGGTCCCCCGAGACCCTTTCACCTAATGGTTTTAGCTTTCTGGTGTATGAATGCCAATTTGCCTAACCCTTTGCTTGATTCTGTACTTTTAAATACTGCCCTTTGAGTTTAAGTTAGGTGTGTGCAGGAAACTGGCTGCTTTGGGGTCTGATGTTTGGTGTGTTAGAGATAAGTGAATCAGCTGTACATAACTGAAATGTAACCCGATTTCCCTTGCTTGTTGCCAAATGATGACACTTTTTTTTCTCCATTCCTATGTGAAGCCCCTTCATGAGCTTCAAATCAGATTTTGGGTAACATTGACCTTTGAAGAAAGCCCAAGTTTATAATTCTTTTATTTATTTATTTATAATTTTTTAAAAATGTTTATTTATTTTTGAGGTAGAGAGAGACAGCGCGCGAGTAGGGGAGGGGCAGAGAGAGAGGGAGACAGAATCTGAAGCAGGCTCCAGGCTCTGAGCTGTCAGCACAGAGCCCGACACGGGGCTTGAACTCACAGACTGTGAGATCATGACTTGAGCTGAAGTCAGACACTTAACCAACTGAGCCACCCAGGCATCCCTAGTTTCTTTTAGATTGGTTATCTTTCAGTAGTTCACTGAAATAAATACTGTAGTTGAAAAGAATCTGTTTCTAATAAAGATTTATGATTTAAAGTGAGAGCAGAGAGACTTTGCTTTCATATTGAAATGTGATTTTGAACTTACATTGAATTTTGGAGCCTGTTGACTTCATTGAACAATTTGCCCACTTTGCCCACTTCACCCAGCTGTAAATTTCTGTTGCGAGGAAAGGCCTTGTAAATAATATAGTGCTTTATTGAAATTCAGTCACTTGTGATACAGTAGGGCTTTTCTGGGATATTCACTGCAGACTTGAAATACACAGAGGATTTTATATTTGCTGATCTACTCTTTTGGTGGAATTTGTTTTCTGATTGATCTGTTCTCTGAATATCTAGAGTGGGTGTGATTCTCACTTTTTCTCTCTTTCTTGCACTTTCTCTGCAGCATTTAACATGCTGTGTATTAAGATGAAAATTTCTGTAACAGACATTTCAGATGATCCTCACAACAAGGCTGTGAGGAAGGTCTGGAGATGAAGAAACTGAGGGGTTTTTTTGTTTTGTGTTTTTGTTTTTGTTTTTGTTTTTGTTTTTGTTTTTTTAGAATGAGTGATTTGTCCAAGATTAGTTGTCACTGACAGTTGGTAGAACAGATATTTCTGACTGGCCAGTTCTTGTTCTTTTCATCGTGCCACACACACACGTTGGTGTCATATAGAATTTGCCCGTTAGTTTTTCTTAACACATTTTTCCTGTGAACATTAAATCTTTAAAACATTTTGTTTGTTCTTAAACGTGTGAACCTTGAAATAACTTCAGTTACGGAAAGGTAGTAAAAGTATTATAAAGAGTTCCAGATATTCTTTACTCAGATTCCCCAGATGGTAACATCTTATGTAACCACAGTATAATGTTCAAAACCAGAAAATTGCACCAAAGTAATTTTGATTGATTGTCTGCTCTGACTTGCCCTTGCATTCGTGCTTGTGGCTGGTCAGCTCTGTTGATCTTCATAAATTGAGTTACATGTGTTATATTTAAAAGGGCAAATGAGAAAAGTGCTTTCCATGTACACCTTTGCAGATGAGTTAAACCTTTTATTTTGATGGTTGCAAAATGCCATTAAAGTAAAGGTGGGTCTTTATGAATCATTTCTCCAAATCTCCACGTGTATACCAGTAAAATGAAATACGTGACAAACTTTGCGCTTATTTTAAAATTCCTTTGTACTTTGTAGTTTTCCCAGATAATTTCTTTTTGCTTCTAAATGTTTTAGCCTAAGCAAGGTAGTAAGGTTTTAGAACTACAAATGACAGTAATCAGATTGCTTTATTAAAGAAATGCTTCATCTGCATTGTCTGATAACTGATCTTTGAAAACCACTCTGGTCAGAAAGTGCTGTCTCAAACTTCTCAGTATCTCCATTTACCTATAAAATGATTGTAGAAATAATGCTGTTTATAATTACAGTTTTGAAATTGGTTGCTTTGTGCAAAACAATTGAATCATCAAACCATTGTAGGATCTGTATTCTTTTCTTTTCCCTGGCAGTCTTTATTATGTGAGGACGAGATTTTCCGTAAGTGTCCTATCTCTGGACCTGATAGTAGCTAATGAGCCCAACCCTTGGTAGACTTATTTGGGAACCAAGGGTTACATATAACCTCACAAAATGAGAGTTCTAGGTTATTCAGTTCTCTACAGCTTGTTTTCCTGTTGGCTATGTTTTCATCTTCTGTTCTGCTTGAAAAATTTCCAAGTCCTTGAAGTACATTTCTCTCAGACTTAGAATGTTTCTCAGGTTACTGTTTTCTTTGCTATTTATTGCCTTTGAGAAAAACTTTATCTGCTTCCTCTTCCTTCTTAGGAAATGTTGATAGTAACTGGGGAAAATAAAACTTGTTAATTAAAAAAACTCTATATTCAGGTGGTGGGAATTTAAACCATGAAGTCATCATACACACTTAGAATGTAAGTTTACACGAGGTGCTATTGTGTACAAAGCAAATGGGGCAAAGTCCAGATTTGCAGATTTCATAACCCTGTATAACTTTAACAGTTGAAAACAAAAATTAAAGCCAGACTTTCTCTTTGTTTGTTAGTTTACAAGTTAGGCACATTTGCTAATAAGCACCTTTGGGAAGATATGGTAAAAATACTCTCCGTTATTTTTTGGTTGGAATCACTTTCATATTAAAATTTGAACCCTTACTGTGAACATTTTTTAGTTATTTTTCCTTTTCTCCCAGATTACATTTTGGTAACATATCTTGAATATAGCCTGTCTTGGTCTTTGCCATTTTTATCAGTTTTGATTTTTCCCTTTTGGATGAGAGCCTTGTCCAGCCAACATAGAGAAGTACATCGTTAGGGACTAAACCTGGCTCCAGGGTTGTTTGCTGAGGTCCTTTTTATGTGGAAAGAATGGTTATTACCAGGGAAGGTTTTCCTTTTGTTTTACTTGCTATCCAGATGCTGCTCAGACTCTCGCTCTCGCACAGGATCACAGTATGGATATTCCAAGTCAAGACCAACTGAAGGTAAAATCACCACACGGTGACTTCTTTTGTTGTACAGAGTGGCCCCTTCTCTGTACCTGTGGATCTTGGACTCCCAAGACCTTTCCCTGAATGTGGTAAGAATTTAATAAGAAAGGTTCTTGGGAGTTCACAGACCAGGGACAGAGTGAACCTTCTCTGTTCTGCCTATAACAGAGTTCCAGTCTCTGCATCTTTCTTTGGGATGTAGCACTTCTGATCTTCAGTTCCTCCAGTTGGATTTTCTTTGGGGTTTTTGTGTGTGCCTGTATGTGTGATGGTGTATGTACATAGGTGTTTGAGAAAACTGCTTTATTCGATTTTAACAGGCTTGCGGCAGTTAAATTCATGTCAGGCCGTTCTTAAAGCTTCCCCAGACCTGGGAGAATGTTATGATCATCTTGGTATATGCTGAGGGTTTCACATGTTTTCTGAACGATGCCTAATTTTGTAGTCTAGAGGCTTTATAGCGATAGCCTGTTTTTAACAGTCGGTTTGGACCTTTTGTGCAGAGATTTTTTCCCCCCAGTTTTGGGGTTCTCCTAGTTCTGCTCACAGTGGGTTGAGGAGAGGTGTTGCCTTTATTTGATGACTGTTGTGAACTCCAGAGATCTCTTTCTTGTGCGTAACCCATTGTGCCGCACACTAACTGGTGAGCCAGAGTGGAACTGCTACATCCCCTGGTCTCAGTCATTTTTACTGCACTAATACACCTCTTTCCCTTTTTTCCAGCAAAGTTCAGAAGAAGGTTCCAGTTCTAGGAAAAGAATGGAAGAAGGCAATATACCTACACTGCCTACCTCACAACATAAATGCAGAAATTCTAGAGAAGGTAAGTTTTGGGTTAAGGCTATATACACTTATTTTTTTCTCTTTTTCATTTTTTTTTCTTTTGTTGATGACTTCTAGAAATGGCATTTATTCATATTAAGCACTGGCTGTAATTGGGACCATTATATAAGCAACTCAAAATATAATGTACTCTCTTTGCATATGAAGTAGGAGGGGCATATGTCATACTTCTGTTTCTCATTCTTTTCTGAAAATGTTTTCTTTCCCCCAGTGACCATTATTAACTTTGAAGAGGATGGTAGTGCTCCTTTAGCAACCTGTGATTTCTGGGCTGGAGCCAGTCCCTTCCTTTGGCTAGTGTGCTAATAGAAGATAGCTGCACATTTATCAGTTTGCTGCCTGGCGAGTCAGCTGCCTTGGCCTTTTAAATCCTGTCACACCTGTATATATGTTCAGTCTGGTTACAATTTTTATTTTTATTTGTCTGCTTGAGGCAGAGGCTAATTTTCATAGAGTTTTGAAGTTTGCAAAGATATGTACTTAGTATGTTAGAGCCGAGAATGAGGCATCGGAAGTCTAGTAGTTCCTTTGCCCTTGGATGGTAGTCCTCAGCTCTTTGCCATCCATACTGGATATGCTATGGTCAAGTTAAACGAGTTAGTCGATATTTTGGAAGTTTCCCCCGTGCCCTGCTTTATAAAATATGTCCTAACATTTTTTCTACAAAGGTGTATACTGTCATAAATTACTCAGAGGTGTTTCGTGGTCCGATAGTTTCTAGTCTTAGGCACCTGGCTCACACTTGGAGCAGTGGCAGGTTAGACCTCCAGCAACCTCCAGAGAGTGATGCTGCTGAAATTGTTTTCGTTGTTTAAAATTGAAACAATTTGGGGCGCCTGGGTGGCGCAGTCGGTTAAGCGTCCGACTTCAGCCAGGTCACGATCTCGCGGTCCGTGAGTTCCAGCCCCGCGTCGGGCTCTGGGCTGATGGCTCAGAGCCTGGAGCCTGTTTCTGATTCTGTGTCTCCCTCTCTCTCTGCCCCTCCCCCGTTCATGCTCTGTCTCTCTCTGTCCCAAAAATAAATAAACGTTGAAAAAAAAAAATTAAAAAAAAAAAAATTGAAACAATTTATCATGCAACTGAATTTTGGGCTGCCTGTTTACCTTGGAGCTTATTCTGTTCTGAATGGTATTAAATGTGTATTTTTTTCTATAACTGCAGGTCCTTGCTTATTTGCTACTTAGAAAGCTATTTGAAATATAAGAATAGCCAATTCAAGAGATTATATGTTGTTTGTAATGTAAACTTTGAGAATAAATAGCTTAGTATCTTCAGGAAAGTAGATAGGACAGACTTTTTATATGTGGAAAGTATATTTCTGTTCTCTTTACAAGAAGTTATAGAGCTTGAATAGATGAGAATAATTTTAATATGGTGCCATCTCAGGAATTTGGATTTTGATAATTCTAGTAATGAATAAGTAAAAAGTTGAACTTTCTCCTGAACTTAATGGGCAGGGATCATTATAATTTGTAAGTAGATAGGTAACCTTTTGTTCTGACAGAGATCTATTTATTACAAAAGTTGCCAAGCACGTGTACATCAGGACATTTAAACACTTGTGGTTGCCATTGGCATGCCTGGTGCATTGGGAGGAGTAGAGGAGAGTGAGAAAGTAGGAAAAGAGGAAAGCACAGCAAAAAAAGATTAGATGATGGGAAAGAAAGAAAAAAAGTTCTTGTGGTAGCAACCACCTTGAATGCCATTTGGATGTACAAAGCAACATCTCTTACTTGGAATATGTGGGGCCTTCTTATGTTTTGGATTTGTAATATTTCTTGATTTTAGATAATTCCAGGAGAGCTCATTGATCTAGAAAGGACATACTTACTTGGATAACCTTGAGTTCAGCATTTCATGATGGTTGTTACCTGTCAAAACGTGAGTTAGTGAGAAACATTTCCTGAATATGTGGTAGCGGTGAGACTGCCTTGTCAACCTTGTGAATGCGCATTCCGGTCTGGGCTGCCTTGGTTCTGTCTCAAGTCGGACCACCATGCCGCCACCATTTGCAGTTCAATGGATCGAGCCATTATCATCATGTGCTACAGCGAGTCATTCTTTAGTTATTGCTGTGGTAAGAATGTGTAACATGCGAATAATGACCATTTTGAAATCCTCTAAGAGCACTGTCGTCGTTTGGATGCTTTCAGAGTTTAGATTTCTTGATAACTGATCCATCTACTTCTGGTGTCATTACTTACCAATGAATGAAGCCTAAATAGGAGGTTTGGCTCTGCCACTTTTGTACTGGGTGTAGACATGTCTTTTTATCTGTCTTAGAAAGAGATTGTAAGTGTTACAAACCGAGTTTTGATTCTTAGTGTTGTGCACATAGTTACCATTCTTTCCGTTTGACCGCTGTAGGTGAAGACTTCATAAAAAACTTAACCCAAGGTGAGACCTCTAAGCTGGACCTTGGGTTTGAGGAGTGGGATATAGCCGGATTGCCTTGGTGGTTTTTAGGAAACCTGAGGAACAACTATACACCTAGAAGTAATGGCTCAACTGATTTACAGACAAATCAGGTAAATGTCACATTTGAAGAGGAACTTTTTGTTTTCTTTTGAAAGAGTAACATCCTTGGTTGCTCTTGACCACACATTGCATTCTGTAAGAATTCTCATTCAGTGCCACGACTTTAAGCACCATCTGTGTGTGCCTGATGCTCAAATCTGTATCTGCAGCCCTGACCTCTTCTCTTAAATGCCCACCTTCTATATTCAGCTGCCTACTCAACACCTTCACTTAGATGATCTGACATTTAACATGTTCAAACCAGATTTTTCTTTTAATTTTTCTTTTTCCCCAAACATTCCTATCCAGCCTTTCTTTTTTCACAAGTCTACCTTCTATCCAGTAATTCTAGCCAAATCCAAAGGGATATCATTGATTTCTTTCTCTGTCATATGCCGCATTCACGTTGTCAGCTCTTTACCCAAAACATATCCAAAACCTAACCCCTTTTATTACTTCCGGTGTCATACCCTAATGCGAGCCATAATTATTCTCTTCCTTTATCTTATTTTATATTCTCCATTGCATTTCTCGCTTTGTAAAACTGTTACTCTGTTTTGTTTTATGTATCTCTTGTCTGTTTACCCCTACTGAAATGTAAGTCCAGGGCTTTCGCATCATTTACCACTCTATTCTGTTACCTGGTACTTAGAACAGTATCTGACATGTAAAAGGCGTTCCGTGAGCATTTGCTCAGTAAATGAATGGGTATATTATAGTGGCAAAATAATAAGTTTTCTTTTAGGAATATTGGAGAAAAGCATGTCATAAAATATCCATAGTTGAATGTGGAAAGAAAGTTATATTTAAAGTTGTTTGGGAATTCAGAAAGAAGATTTGAGTTACTATCAGTATTTCTCATATTTTAATAAACGTTATTGACTGTCAAGGAAATGATGTACCACAGTTAATAGAATGTCTTCTAGGTTCTCAGAATACCACCTTTGGAAAGGAGTTGAGGGAATGGATTCTATTTAGTAGAGCAGCTATGAGTCTTTAGCCTTTAAGCTCTTTAGTACCATTTCTCAAGTGTTATACTTGAGTTACTGTTAAAGTAGAGAATTCTTTGCCAGACTCCTTTATATCCACTCGCGAGTTTATACATAGTAGATGCGAAGTAGATGTCTGTGGAATGAATAGATGTCCATCGAAGAAAGAGGCAAGGTGTTCTTTGGAGATGTGTAGGGACACTGAGTTTTGGGTTCATTTTTATTGGTTCAGCATCACTGATAAGCGTCTGACTATAAACCTTTTTTTCTACTAGGATATAGGTACTGCCATTGTTTCAGACACCACAGATGATTTGTGGTTTTTGAATGAGTCTGTATCAGAGCAATTTGGCGTGGGAATCAAAGTTGAAGCCGCAGATACTGAACAAACAAGTGAAGAAGTAGGGAAAGTAAGAGACAAAAAGGTATGTTTGGAAACATTTCGCCTTGTTTGTATCTACATGTACCTAGCATAATCTGTTCAGGTCTGGTATCCCAACCCTTTTGTACAACAGATGACTCACATAATTCCCCCCTTTAATTTCTTTTTTTAAAGTTTGTTTATTTTGAGAGAGAGGGCACGGGGGGGGGGAGAGAGAGAGAGAGAGAGAGAGAGAGGGAGAGAGAGAGGGAGAGAACGAGAACTCTAAGCAGGCTCCATACTGTCAGCATAGAGCCTGACGTGGAGCTCTATCCCGTGAACCGTGAGATCATGACCTCAGCTGAGATCAAGAGTTGGATGCTTAACCAGCTGAGCTTTTTACTCATTACTTTTTCATGTTTTCCTGTATCCAGTTTTAAGAGTCACATTAAGTTAACCAAGGCTGTCTTAAAAACAGAATAGGACTGTTTGGGTGAAACTCCTCCTCCTTTAGAAGCAATAAGCTGCCCTTTCCTGCTTGTCTGATCTCTCACTGTGGAGTTGTTTCTTTAGGAGACCTTTCTTTGCTAACAAGGCAACGTTCTAAATGGCCACAGCAACCTGTAGGGAAAGAAATTCTTATTTCTTGGACATCTCAGTGTCTTTCATAGCCATTTATATGTAAATGGAAATAGATGAGTTCTCCCTACGTATTTTAGAGTTTAAATAAGGGGAAAGAAGAGAGAACTCCAAATACACATGGCGTGAGCACACCAAGATGAAACATGTGCTCAAGTCTCAAAAGAAATTGGACACCAGATCCAGTGTCCAACTTTGACAAGATTCTCAGTAAACATTCATTGAATAAATGTAGCAAAACACACACCCTGAATAGGGTCATTTTTTTAATTTAAGGGATTTTCATAGTAATTTGGGTTCCTGAAGGATAATGTTGGTGTGTTTGTAGGCAGATAGATGCTTAGGTCCTGCTAGCCTAGTTGTATGTTGGGAGCATTAGAAGGGACTACAAGTGGCTTGAAGGAAGACAGAGGGGACATTTGGAAACTTCCATGGAGAGAGGTGGGACTTAGAATACTTGAACTTGCATGAGAAAGTTGCTATACTGAGGTCCCTAATTGAATCATAATTGGTTTTATTCCATTTACCAGATCACAAAGTAGGGTGTTGTTAGAATTTTAAATTCCAAATTTTAAAATTTAGAAGACACTTCCCACATTTCTTGACTTTCTGTGTCCTGGTCCATGGGCATGTTGTTACAGGGCAACCAGAGTATCACTGAACTAGGTTTACTTTTGAATACGAAAAGTAAAACTTTGAAATACTTTGTTTTCATTCTTGACATCTCAGTTCCTTATTTTATATAGTACTCTTCACTTCCGTTTTCTCATGTAATTCTGAATGCCTACCTAGATTCCCAACATAAAAAAAATCACATTTAATGATTTGTAGCTTTTCTACTCTGATATTGTTTATTTTCATTAAAGTCATACATTTGGGCGCCCTCTTCTATTTGATGACCTTTCTGGGTACTTTTTAATCATTTCTTCTACTAAAGTTCTGGCTGGGTGCATCTAGAATCATTTAAGCTATTTTCTTTCTAAGTGCTAGTGATGGAGGCAGAATGTAGTTTTAAATTGAAGCTCTTCTGTCTTTTTTTGCTCTCAGGTTATAACCTCCTGTAAACTAGGTGAACCTCACTAATGAGATGTCTTTGCCCTCATAGGTGATTGAAGTGGGAAAAAATGATGACCTTGAGGACTCCAAGTCCATAAGTGACGACACTGATGTAGAAGTTACCTCTGAGGTAGGGGTATCTAGTAAAAGAGCTGTTTTGCACCCCCCGCGTCTCCCAGTGTGTACGTTCCAGCACTGCACTTGTGTTGAAGAAGGCCATTTCCCCCATTTCTATCTCCCTTTCCTTGACGTTAAGACATGTTGGCTTCTTTATATTTTGTTACAGGTTTTTATTGGAATTTAGAGAAAGGGTGACTTAAGTGCCTGTCTGTATGCCTTTCTCCCCGCTGACGAAATTCTTTGGACCTGATGCAGTGGACACACAGAGTTATTCAGAATAGTCCTGCACTGCTTTGCCCACTAGCCACCCCTCTGTAATCGTAAAGGTAGACTTATAAGCTATCTAAAATTCTTTGTCAAGTACAAAGATCATATTTTCAGTGCTTTGTTAGAAATCGACAAATGGAAAATGGCTTAATTTCCACACAGGTTTATATTAACGGAGGGCTAGTAAATGAAAATGTAGTATTAAGCTGGAAAGGTAATAGGTATGGATTTGTCACCAAATGACAACTCAGGTTTAGACTCAGATGTATACCTTTTCTCTTTTCATGCTGGTTCCCCATTTTCCTTTTAGTGCTTCCCTTGGCTAACCCGCCGTGGGAAGAAGGGTGGTGGGGGAAGGACAGGGGAGGAGAGTTTACAGTTTGCTGCTTGGGGATAGAAAAGTGGTATGTTGTCTTTGGTTGATCCTCCCCAGCTCCTGGCCTGCCACTGTTGCCCATTATGGTAATTGACTGCAAATTATCTGTCTGTGTATAGCTAAGTAATAAAGTAGAATATATTGGTCCGTTAAGGGTTCTTGACCATAATACAAATAGCAGAGATAAGTGTTTCCATCTTCATCAGACTTCTTTGGCTACTTGGGCCCAGAAAAATCTATTAAGCAAATAGACTGTATTTTATCAAATCAAAGATGCCATTGAATTTAATAAGCCCTATTATTTTATGTACTACTAAAAAAGAAAAAGTGATGCCAGTTAGACTGTGACACACCATCAGTTATGAATTCCAAATCTTTACGAAGCCCCTTTGAGTATCTGGATAGCATTTCAGGTGAGATGTGAGGATCTTAAGCCGGCAAGAGTGTTGTGAGGATCCCTGAAGACCACCCAGTTTAACAGATGGTCGCGTCCCTGACTCTTGGCCCGTGATATTGAGTTACGACTTCTAAACTTGAAGTGTGTGGCCTTTGTTCTGAAAGTAATCAAGTCTGCCTGTGTCCAGTCATTGATCCTGTCAGAGCCAGGCAATTAGCCACATTAAATACCCTTGACTTGTTCCAGGTAGCTACCTTTGCATTAAGCAAGGCATTTAAAATTCATTGAGCTCCAGTATCTCCTAATTTGGTATCTACTAATTTGGGTATGGAGGAGTAGGAAAAAAGTTACGGGCATCCAAGGACAAGAACGTTCATTTTTCAGAGGGTATGGTTTAGGCGTATAGTTAGCTAGTGAGAGACCATGAGTAAATTTAGTAGTTTTCAAATCTCATTTTAATTTTAGCTTCCTTTTTTGCCAAATTTTATATTTCTTAATTAGTGGGAAAGAATGAAAGTGTTCTCTTTGCTTCATTCTTTAGCTTCTTGCTCAGTAAGAGAGTTAAATTGTACAAAGAAATGAACTAAAAAGACGGCAGCAGGGAAAAGCCAGCAATCAAAATTCCATCCAGATGAGATAGAATGCCAAAATAATGAATTTAACTTTCTTAAAGATAGCTATATAAATCTTGACTTGAAAATGGCGGTTGTGTCACTATCATCGTAAAACTTGTCAAGACTTTCTTCCACGTGGCTGTGGAATTTGCTCATATGCGAGGCTAGTCCACCGATGGGGAATGTCCGGACTCTCACTAGCTTAGTGAGATGATGAGCCAAGGCCTACCCTCCCTTTTCCTCAACTTCATGTTTGCCACGGAGTGAGTGTTAATTGGCTGCACTTGTCTTTGTAGGATGAGTGGCAGTGTACTGAGTGCAAGAAATTTAACTCTCCAAGCAAGAGGTACTGTTTCCGTTGCTGGGCCTTGAGGAAGGATTGGTATTCAGATTGTTCTAAGTTAACCCATTCTCTCTCCACGTCTGATATCACTGCCATACCTGAAAAGAAGGAAAATGAAGGAATTGATGTCCCTGATTGCCGAAGAACCATATCAGCTCCAGTTGTTAGACCTAAAGATGTGTATACAAAGGAAGAAAACCCTAAACTTTTTGATCCCTGCAACTCAGTAGAATTCTTGGATTTGGCCCACAGTTCGGAAAGCCAAGAAACCATATCAAGCACGGGAGAACAATCAGATAACCTTTTTGAACAGAGAACAGATACAGAAAACATGGAAGATTGCCAGAATCTCTTGAAGCCGTGTAGTCTGTGTGAGAAAAGACCACGAGATGGAAACATTATTCATGGGAGGACGGGCCATCTTGTCACTTGTTTTCACTGTGCCAGAAGATTAAAGAAGGCTGGGGCTTCGTGCCCTATTTGCAAGAAAGAGATTCAGTTGGTTATTAAGGTTTTTATAGCATAGCTAACTCAGTGAATTGCAGAAAATATTAACAGGGCTAGGTCATGTTTCAAAATGTCAGTATTGAGCATCTCTACTCAGTGTAGCCCATTACATCTGTTTATTTATTTGGGTAAACATCTGTGTTCCCCAACATTTTTGCTTCTAAACTTATATGGAATTTGAGAATGAGTTCTTTAGTACTAGGTTGCCAATTTGGGGGACGCTGTTAACATGAAAAGATACGTTAACCACTTCATTCTCTCCTCAAAGATGAGGATCTGGGAGAAAGCAACTGCCAGTACTAACAAAAATACATTAATTCGCTCACTTACCAAATTATTTGAAGATTTACTATTTCTTTAGTTAATTGTATTCCCCATTCTTTTTTTCTGTTAGGGAATGTTATTAGGCATTAGGATCCAAGGTGGCTATTAGAAAAATACTAAAGCTAACAAAAGAGATAATAATAAATTTGATTAGTCAAGGTATGTAATGCTATATAGATTGTTGCAGTCAGGCTGCACGATTCAGATGAGCTAAAAGAAAAGTCTTGATAAAGAAGCGCTTTCTTCCATGTGTGCCTAGAACAATGGTATGGAGCATTTTTGCTAACATACTCCTAAAAGGGTTTTGAAAAAGTATATGTAACCTTTTGCACATTTTACACCATGAGGTATATAATTAACAGACAAAGTTTCCTTTCTGGTGAGTTGTAGACCTCTGAGTAGCCAGCCTAAAACAAGCAATGGAACATTTCTGTCTCCTTAGAATGTTTCCCTTGTTCCTCTTTCCAAGCAGTTCCCCCTCCATTTCGTGGCTCTCATTCTAGGTTAGCTGTCCTTTTGCACATGTTTAGTGTGACATCTAAATTTTAAAAATACCTTTAAATACTTAGAAAGGGTACCCTATCCAATATATTGTATATGTGCCTTAAAAATATTTTTCTCAAAGCCTTGGAGCTGTAGGTTTCGTTGATTAAAGTTATAGAAAAAATCCTGTCGTATAAAGTAGCAAAGGTGTTCTCATTTTAAAATTCATCAGCCAAATCAGATTTCACTTTCACTCAGAAAATGTTTGACTTTATTTTTAAAAAAAAAATTTTTTTTTTTTTAACGTTTATTTATTTTTTTGGGACAGAGAGAGACAGAGCATGAACGGGGGAGGGGCAGAGAGAGAGGGAGACACAGAATCAGAAACAGGCTCCAGGCTCTGAGCCATCAGCCCAGAGCCCGACGCGGGGCTGGAACTCACGGACCGCGAGATCGTGACCTGGCTGAAGTCGGACGCTTAACCGACTGCGCCACCCAGGCGCCCCTGACTTTATTTTTAAAAATAAATGCATTAACACATTTCTGGCACAACCGTCTCAATTACAGTTCTAAGGTAGGTAAGGCATAGAATTTTTAACCTAAGCTCCCTTTGCTTTACTCTGTCCTCATTATCTTCTGAGAATCCTCTGGAGGTGTTTTGTTGTTCTTTTATTTGATGCCTCTAGAGGTTTTTTACATTCTGAGGCAATGCCCCATAGTAAGATTCTAGATGGGTGAGAGGCAGCCTTTCCTTTGGAAATAGGGAGTTATGGCAGTTGTGAAAAGGATATTAAGAAAAATGGTAGATCTGAAGAAGCCTTATCTGAGCACATTAATCTTAGGACAGTACAAATGGAAGTTGAAGACCTTTAAGCTGATGTCTCTATACCTATCCCTGCCTGCTTTCTCCATGGAAAAATCTTGAAGTATGCCCAGGGGTATGCATATGAGATTTTGGGGACGAGGGCCCTAGAATTAACAAATTTACTGATCCAAAAAATTACCTGGGTTGCTTGTTAAAACAGCCCAAGTTTAAAAAAAAAAAAAAAAAGCCAAACTCAAACCCCCCTCCCCCCACTTTGCCCTGGAGTTTCCATTTGAACATGTGTTCCTGGAAGCTGATTCAAGTGGTCCACAGACCACACTTTGGGAAGCCCTGCCCTAGAAGGAAGGGTTTTCCCAGTTACAAGAAGTAGAATGAACAAGATCATTTTTAGCAGCATATTTAATTTTCTGAGGGGGAGTTTTGTTAAAAGTTCTAGAATTTTTTTTTTTTTTTTAATTTTTTTTTCAACGTTTATTTATTTTTGGGACAGAGAGAGACAGAGCATGAACGGGGGAGGGGCAGAGAGAGAGGAAGACACAGAATCGGAAACAGGCTCCAGGCTCCGAGCCATCAGCCCAGAGCCTGACGCGGGGCTCGAACTCACGGACCGCAAGATCGTGACCTGGCTGAAGTCGGACGCTTAACCGACTGCGCCACCCAGGCGCCCCAAAAGTTCTAGAATTTTAAAACTAGACTGCACTCATATACTCAAGCCACTGTTATTTTGCACTTGAGGCTAAATTTAAGGTTAAATGACTGTCAAAAGTCACAGCTAGTGATGCAGCTATTACTAGAATCTAGGTGACTTGTAGTAAATCTCTAAACCATGCTCGCTCCCTTGTCATTGTTTGTTAAATATATAAAGCGGGATGCTTCTCGAATTTGTGGTAGCTCATCATCCTAAAATACTGCAGAATGTGACTTGCAGCCAAACTAGGACTTTAGAGAGAGTAATAACTTTTAACACTTTCTCCCCAAAGAAAAAGTCCCTATAAACGTCAGGCTTTCTTATATAATCAGATGTCCTCCCACAGGGAGGACAGATAAAGGTGCAGAGGAGCCTGATCCATTGTCTCCAGTATTGTTCCTTCTTGGGGAAGGAAGTTAAGTTCCTGGCTCTCTCTAGGCATCAGGGACAAGGGTTTGTTTTCCTTCTAGAAGTAGAACGAGTCCTTTGAGTTTAGTGTTTTGTTAAACCATGGTAAACGCTCCACCACTCCTGCAATTTAAATGACTTTTTCCCCTATTTTCTCTCAAGTACTACTCTCTTCATAATAGTTTGATAGCCCTCAATTTTGTTTGATTTTTGCCAGTTCGGCGCTTTTGCAAATGGTGACTTAAAGGAGGGACAGGGAGAGTTGGGGATCTGCACTTGTACCCTCTGATTCCTCTTATGAAAAGTCGCAGGTTTTTTTAGAAAATTAAAAAATTGGAAAATTTTGTGTTTGTAGATATTTGATGCCAGTTTTGGTACATCCTTGCCTAGCACAGGATCCTCTTTTGCTACTCAACTTTCCTTCTCCCCCTTGCTCACCTGGGTTTTATACTGTCCCCGTTACCACGAAATACTTTGCTTAGAACATCCCGAGCTGTATGTTTGAGCTGTGAGTGGTATAATAACCTAGACTCGGGTTTCCTGGATCTCTGATGAGAGCTGAGAGCCGTGGGACTGACTGCAGCTGTTACAGAGAAACGAGTGATCGTATCTGCAGGAGGAGGCAGCTGGTATTTCTTGGTAGCTTATCTGAAATCCGGGATGCCGCTTCCCCTGCAGATTGTTTCCTTCATCCCAGATCCCTATCCTGTGTAATCACCTCTGGGAGTGGAGGATAGCAAGTAGGACTTGTCATTCCTTGGGGTAGAATGGGTGAAGAGTCCTACAAAGGGCCACATCACGCTATCAGAGCAGTTCGTTACCTGCATCTTGATTTGTTTTTGGTTTCGTTCTTTTTTTTTTCATGCTACTGCGGTACAGGTATATTTTACTCACTGCCGGTAAAGCAAGACATAGTTTGTACGTGAAGTCTTCATAGTTTTACTTCTGCCAGGTAAATTCCTAATTTCCAAACACTACTATTTATCTTTTAGTTGTATTTAGGGTGGACAGTGTGCTCTGGTGTTCTGGAAACAGTGCCAGTTTACCGCTCTTTTTTTAGCAGCCTGTCTGATTTATCTCCTTTTCTCCCTTTTCACTCCCAGATGCTTGAGTGGAAATCTTGATTGTGAGGAGGGATCTCTTAAAGTGGGTGCCAGTGGAGTTTAACTTTTCTGCATCATGCCATAGATTTGTGATCAATGAAATCATACTATATTAGCACCAAATTTCTTTTTCCCTCTTTCTCTTTCTTTCTTTTTCTTTTTCTTTCTTTCTTTCTTTCTTTCTTTCTTTCTTTCTTTCTTTCTTTCTTTC